CTATTGTATTACTGTTTGTGAAACTAACACTGAAAAAGCTCCAAGACTGTTCAATGTGTTTGGCTACCTCATGACAAAGAATTTATCAATTAACTGAAGGCTTAGGGTGAGGAAAAGAAGGATTGCCCTTGCTTTCTTGATGAGAAATTAGGATACACAGAAATGAAGTCCAAGACTGTGAGGATCAGAAGCCAAAGATCAGGTTCCAAACAAAGTCAGAATGATGGGATATTCAAATCAAGAACAGAGGACATAAAACCACTAAGAAGTGGCCAAATACCAACTTTGAAACATTCACTAGAGAGCCAAGGCTTAAGAGGTGCTTTGAATTCTTGGTCCAACTGATTTGTGTAAATTCACAGCACCTGAGTCAGAATAAGAAAATAAATCTTAATGTCTCATTCTGGTGATTTCTTCTCAATACCATCTTGCCTTTGCCACCTACAGTCACAATTTTCAGCTCAGTCTATCCTCCAAAAATCCCATCCATAGGAGAGATAAAAGGCAAACCCAGTCTGGGAGAAGAGCAGTGCAAAAAGTGCAGCATTCTAGAATTTCCTCGGGTAATTGATTTTCTGTTTGTGTTAACAAGACAATACACAGTATCATTTATAAAGGCAACATATGCAGGATATCCAGAAGACAACATCCCCTGACAAAGAAAGCTACTTGAAAGAGCTTTGCACACCAAATTATTTCATGCATATTCATAACTCGATTAAAATATTAATACTGTAAACTTGTAAGAAACACAACAGGCACAGAAACAGCTTTTATTTACTTACACCAGAAACAGAACATGGCACACACACAAAGGATGTCAGCATTACTCAGTGCTGGAAACTCACACATGTGCAATATATATCTGTATATTAGCCTGCAGATAAACATTTATTCCCAAGGGAGGCTGCTAATGAGACTCTGCTGTGGGGAAGATATCCAATTAATCCAAATGACATTTATATTTTAATCACATCACATGCACTGAAGAGCTCGAGGTTTGATGAAGCAATCCTTGAAAGACTTTGCGTTTTTAATCAATTAGCTCTCTAAACATCAGTGACGTGCTGTTGACAAGTCCTTGGGTTAAGTATACAACAACACACACAAATCCTCTCTCCCTGCCAGAAGGAAACAGTGTGGTCTTCCAAAACTCCTGAAACAGGTGCAAAAAGTTTTCCTAATAGAAGACACCTAAAACGGAGCACTAAGAAATAAAGACATCCCTCAGGCTCACTCTGAGCTACTCAGAGAATTCATTTTAGATGAAAAACTTTCTTTTAAGGGCATCACTCCTGTGTAAAACTATCAGACTTGCTCACAAATCCTTTTATAATTGGCTTATCTGAATAAAACCAAGTCAGGCAAAACAATTTGCTTTCTTCAAGCAACCTGTAAGTGACAAATGCCACTGCACACATGGAGATGAAAGTTTGGTCATTTTTAACATGTTTTAGCACTAATCAGGCATTTTAAGATGCTCCATGTTATAGAAATAAGTACAAAAATGAAAAAAAAAACAGAGCTGCATGACCTTAATTCAATCATTCTTCAAATTAGCAAATTAGCATTGGATTTTTCCTGTAAAAAGTACACCCTCATGGCTGTTATATTAAATAGACCATTCCTACTTCTGAGGGCTTACATGAAAACCTCACTTTAAAAATTAAACTCAGTTCTGTACTCACAAATATTCCTTAAAAAAAAAAAAAAAAAATTAAACTAAAAATATGAAGTGAGAATTGATCAAAGTCAGGATTTGACTGGAAAATATTTGAAACTTCAAAATGTAATAATCAAATTATAGCATGAGAATTTTCTTCACCTTGAAATTTACAAACCACCCGTGTTCCATCAGATCAGGTCAGCACAATCAAAAGGTGCAAGGATAAATATTTTGAATGCTAAAAATCAATTTGATCATTAGAAACTGGGAGAAACTGTGGAGCAGAACAGAAATATCACTATCCTTGCAGTTTGTAACTTCCAGCTTGAGAGCTATTTTGCTGAAGGTACTCAAAGAATACCTATTTAACTTTGCAGTAAAGTTTGTATTTAGGTTTGTCTTTTTTTACTGCAACCACTTGTTTTTGGGTTTTGACTCTGTTGTTTGGAGTCTGGGTTTGTTGTCTTTTTTTTTAACTCCTGCTTCTCAATTTCAGACCAACACAGTCCTTCTAATAAATATCTTCTAACTAATCCCTCCTTCAATACCACTAAATCCTGAAGGCTAAAATGCTCTTTAGCACAGATCTCTGTAAAGGCAGAGAAGCTTGAGTTGCTAAATTTCAATACCTAATCTGGTCTTTAATTGCTAAGTGAGCTCTCAGCAATTGCCATGAACACAACACCTAGAACTGAGTCAGTTGTTATCATTATCCTCCCTAAATGGCTGCTGAATTCAACCAAATCAATACTCAACTACCAAAAACGTGCATTGCTTCTAAGGGTGCCCATCTGCAGGATGGAAGAGATCTTATATAAAAAGTACAGGTTTCTGCCTTTGATGGAATGACTGACGTTGATAATTATGGCAACTGGAGGAAAAAAAAAAAAAGCCAGCCTTAAACATAGAAAACATGGTTGTTCTTGATCTAAAATACATTCAAATTGGCAATACATTCAATTTCAGCAATCACCAACAGAAGTTTTCACACCTCCATTTTTATGAGATGACATTTATTACCAAGCAAAGCACCAGAGTGGAATGTGCACTTTTTTTCTTTTGCATTCTGTGGTACAAAATATGCCAGTCATTATTGCTGTGAGTGACATGAACTGTTAGGTTGAAGCCCAAAGACATCTGGGAGGCACAGATGGTTCAGAACTCTCAAATAGCTGCGGAGCCATTCCCTTCAAGGTCAGGCTTCTGACACTGCAAGGGCTGGTAATGACACAAAGCCATCAAGACCTTTTCAGAAAGAGCTCCTTCCTCTTCTGTCCAGTTCCTCATTTCTGGCACTCAGCACAGAGATGAGCTCACACAGCCTCAACTAATTTCTGTTAATGGCACTCCTCTCCAAGGGAGGTGGAACCTGAACAGCCTTTCCATTCCTAGAAATCTCTTCTGCAGTAGAGCTCAAGTTGCTGCTGCCTGGATTCCAGTCCCAGGGCTTCCAAATTCACCAGTGAATGTTCACTTCTGAAAAGATATTCCACTGACCTCAATGCTCCGTAAAGATCTTTGCACTGGCTCTCTATAAAACCACAGGAAACAGAGTTTAAACCTCTGCAACATAAAAGTTTCAAAATGTGAGTAACTGCCACTTTAGAAAACTGAGAGAACTACTGAATCCTATTGCAATAGCAAAAGATCACTTCTGTTAGGCTAATATTATCTGAATAGGAAAGCTCTTCCATTGGTCTACCTAGAGATTGTATTCTTGCAACCATTACCAGCAAATAAAGTGCAGTTCTTCACAAAACTAAACACTGACCTGAATTTGGAACACTACCATGCCCATCACTTTCAGATATCAATGAATGCTCTGAATGACCTATTGAAATAGCAGAATTATTCCCCAGAATCCCAATGAGGCAGGAGCTGAGCTGTGTGAAAATATGAGGAATTCTTCCATAGGCATTTGCCATTATGGTAACTCCACCAAGAGCTTTTCTGTTAGCTACCCCTCCTCAGAGAATTTTGGAACCAAGGCAAAAAGAATGGTGAAAATAATGGAATCTTTTAGAGAGGAAATCTAGACAGAAGAAAAGCACAACCAAGAAATGACTGATTACAATGGATCACGATTTCCATATCATAGTAATAAGCTACATGAAGATATCTCCTACAGGGGTGGTGCAGGTGATGAATTACACACACAATCATAAAGAATTGGAAGGTTCTGATGTAGCATCAGCCTCTGAGGTTTTTGCTCACCCTGTAATTCCATGTATTCCAGAAAGGAGTTCTGTTGACAGGAACAGGTCTACTTTCAAAGTGAGATGCAACTGAACTGACAGATATCAAAGGCACCTCACAGGGTTTTGTTGCAAATCAAAAGATTTGCATCAATATTCAAGAGAAATGAGCACCGAGGAAAAAAATCAAACACCAGTAAATTGGACAAGTTATTAATTAACCATGAGAGGTTGAGAAAGGACTCATCAAAGCATTCAGTGTCACCGGGTCTAAGTCAATATCACAGCTTTACAGATGTCCTACACTGCCTGCACCTGTGACCAGCAGCATCCATCCTCAGGAAAACAAACGAGCAAACAGCAGAATCTGATCCCGGTTCTGTGAGACTCCTGAGAGATCACAAACACTGAAACCACTCATCTTTAAACATTAAGCAGTGGAAATGCAAACTTATATAGAGTGGAACTTTTCATTGTTCAAATGCACGCAGAACACAAACTGCATGAAAGAAAGGGCTGAAATACACAAAGCAAAACGATGCCTAACTGCTTTCTCCTAAAAAAAGGCTGAGGCAAAGAATGGTCCTGCAGCGACAGCTGCACATCTTTCAACGACCAGATTTTCATGACTTTCCTCCCTGCCCAACAGCGTGAGGAGAAGCTTCCCAAACCCTTTCTCACGCGTTCCGCCTCCCGCTCAGCCCCAGCACCGGCGCTGCAGCTCCCCGGCCCCGGGGCTCCGCTGCCGCCGAACCAGCTGCGGGAGCGCATTCACAGCCCGCCAGGTGAGACCTTACCCCACACGCTGCAGCCAACCCACCAGCACCTTTGAGGCTGCGTTGTTTTGGCTAGTCGCTTTTTGGATACTTCTCTCACAAACAGCAGCTTCTCCAAGAGAAATTCCACTCGGCTCTTCGGCAAAACCCCGGGGCTGGGAGAGTTCCCTCAAAGACTCACACGGGGGAAATATTCCACCCCCGAGCACCCCGGCGGCAGCTCGGGCATCCCGAGGGAGATGCCCCGGCGAGCCCCGCACCTCCATCCCGCACTGCCCGCACTGCGAGCGGCACTCGCTTGTCAGACAGCACCGAGCAAAGTTGCCGCGGTGCCGCCGGCGGCCGCCGCCCGGCGCTACTCACACGAAGACTCCGAAGAGCAGCACGCGTATGCCGATCTCGATCGCCAGCTCCCGCATGGTGGGTCCGGCGCTCCCGCAGCCCCGCGCCGCCGCCTCTCACGCCCGGGGGCAGCGGGGCCGCCTCAGGCCGCCGCGCGCTGTGAGGGGCGCGGCGCTGGCGCGGCGGAGCGGAGCGGAGCGCTGGGGGAGGGTCCCGGTGACTAACGCGGTGTCCCCGCTCGGGGGAGGGTCCCGGTGACTAACGCGGTGTCCCCGCTCGGGGGGAGGGCGCCGGCGATCCTGGGGATTTCCCCTGCCCGCCTTCCCGCCCGCCCCCGCGGCGCTGCCGAGCGGAGCCGCAGCCGGGGCCGAGCCGGGGCCGTCCCGCCCGCCCCTCGGGGCCGCCCTGCGCCACAGCCCGCGGCTCCCCGGCACCGGGGTGATGTCCCTGCCTAACGCGGGGAAGGGGAGCGGTGGGAGCGCTTTCTCTGCCCCTTTCAGCGCAGCGCTCCCCGTCCTTCCCTGGAGGGCCATGGACCCATCGGTGTGAGGGGCTGACACCCCAGGGCACCGCCGCCACACGCTGGATTGCAGCCCCGGCCGTGGGCTGGCGTTCCGGTGCTCATCTCTGGCTCATAATGAAGCCCCGCGCTTGGAAAAGATGGAGAAGAACAATAATAAATGGGGCCGGCGGGAGGGAGCATCGCCGCGCACAGATAACGGCGGGTGTTCATAAAAACTCGAATTGCCGGCCGCTTGTGCCAAGGGCAATCCCACACCAGCCGTGCTGAGTTTGGCCTGTTCGCTTTATGTCTGCATGAAGGATTAACAGCGTTCGGACACGTTCTACTGGATGTATTTATGTAACAGGCTTTTCACCTGCTCGCACATCCGTGCCGTTTTAAACCCTACTCCTCATTGTTAATGCAGATAACCCAGTGTGGCACGCCGGTTCAGATTCTGTGTAATATGTGGTATTATAGCCTAAAGATGTCATTAATTCAGCGCCTGTTCTTTCAGAGATGAGTTTAGCTAAATATGCAGAGGTTGTAGTTATATGGGACCCCAAATTGCTGAGATGGGAGAAAGGCAGCAAAACAACCAATGACTTGGTTTGCTCCTGTGATCCCTCCAATCCATGAACCATTCCTCTTAATGGAATTCTCTGAACTGCCCAAATCCTTATATTGCCTTAGTCTACTTTTGCACAGAGTTCATTTAAGTTCCTCTTCCTTTAACTTCCTAAGCATGGAGAGACTCCTGAACATCTTTAGTGTAAGAGAGTTTCAGCCTTAAGTCATGAAATGCAGCAAACTAATTCACATTTAAATGTATTTAATTATCTGCTTTCTTGGGGCATTTGAAGGGGATGTCCTTCAGGAAAGTGTTCGTAGCTATAACACTGCACATAGCTACAGAACAGCCATCAGGACTGCAGCAGGAATCCAATCCACTTTGCTACGTGATTATTACTGGAGAATTAATGCCAGAGAGGCTGTGTTAAACCTATCTGCCTAATAGATGCACTGTGCATTAAAGGGAAGCTTTGAACTCTGAATTAACTACTAAGTGGTAAAACTTTTATTGACCATGTTTGTGGAAGAGTAGAGACATAAGACTGTGCTGAACTCACCTACACCAGTGCTAGAGAAGTACACCAGTGCTAGATTTGTTGCAAGGACTGAAACCCAGAAAACCCAGATGTGTGACTGGCATCGGAGAGAACACTAAAAATGTTACTTAAAAGAGATCTCTCTCCCTTGTACACCTTATTTCATTAATTTCCAGACAAAGCTCAGTCAACTACTTATAGTCTGGATTTTAAAAAATGTGATTCACCCTCAGGAAGCAAAGCTAAATTGTGAAATCTTTGTATTCAACTGGTGGTGATGGTAAAGGACAGGCCACCTTCTTTTGAGGATGCTCAGCCCTCATTGACTGAAAGTGTACCTACATTCCTGATAGGTGTGCACTGGAATAATCTTTACTTTTATTAATAGACAGAAATAGCCTCATAATTTGTGTGAATCAAACCACTCATAAAACAAGGGGTTCTCATTACAAGTGAAACAAGATTTTCTTGATTTTTCATCTGCTTGCAGTGTTCTGGCTCTCCAACATGTATCAGCTGATGGTGATTTATGAAGCATAAATACTTCAGACTGATTTTGCTTTTAAACTAGACCCAGCTTGCAGCTGGCTGCTGAACAAAAACTTGCTTTGACTTTTAAACTGAATATGAGCTGTAGCGGTAAATAGCAAGGAAAAGATTTTAGGTTACATTGTGGAATTAAGCTACAAGGCAACAGGAGGTACAGCATATTCCTAGAGCAAACCACAGTGGCCCTGGGAACATCCCAGATTTTTATCCATCCCTATCTCAGGCACAGCAGCTGCCCTCGATGCTGTTTATGTTTTTAAGAGTGACTGCAGAGGAGAGAGGACTGATCCCACCCTGATCCTTTTAGGGGGCTCACTTGGGTTCTCTGTACTTTTCTCTCCCAAAGATTAGTTTCTCTTTGAGCCACCTGCAGCCAACTTTCAGTCCTCAAAGAGATGTTCATAGCCAGAACCAGCAGCACAGCTGACCTGGCTTTTCTGGAGATTACAGCCTTTTGCATGCTTCTTACCTGCCCTGGGGCAAAATCTTACAGCTGATGGTAAGCTGAGCTTAAAAAAAGTGATTTTTCTATCAAAGGAGGTTAACTTTATCCTGCCAAAGGGCTGTGGAAAATAGCAAGCTTGCAGCAGAAGCGACATGGCAAAAACACAGGTGGCAGTAACACCTGAAACTCTGAAACCAGGCAAGAGTCTGAACACAAAACAAAAAAGTAAAATAATTTTCCATGTTTTAAGAAGGATTCAAAGGATGTTGAATAAAGTTTTCATACCTTCAATAGTTCTGACACAAAAACAGGAACAGCTTGGCAGACAAGTTTCCTTTTGGAGTGATATACTCTCAGATTTGTCACAGGACATAAAACTGATGAGGGTTCAGATCCACTGAGATAAAATATTAAGACATGTCTGGATGAACAACATTTCCAGTTTTCCATTACCTGAGTCTGTAGGCAACCAGATGTTTAAACAAAAGCTACTGGTCAAAGAAACACTAAAATCCAGCCTGACATGACACCAGGGCAGCTTTTTATTCTTTAGCAATTACAGTCCACTAAACAACCTACTTATTCTTTCAAAGATATAAATGAAGGGTTATTTTAGTTGTTTCTTACATTGCCTTTACTTCTGTCAGTATTTTTTTCTTTTTACCTTTAACCACTTCTTTTCCTGCCCGTTTGAGTATTTAAATCTAGGTCACAATAGGGAAAAGCCCTTTTTTCCCTTCATTTCCTGCATACGCATTCCCTGTGCAGGGTCTGATCTGTCTGCACACCCAGATGCAGTGCACAGCCCTTGGCTGGAGATTCAGCTCTAGAGGAGCTCCAAAGCCATGGAGGGTTTGATTAAAAAACAAAACAAACCAAAAAAAACAAAAAAAAAACCAAAAAAAAAAACCAAAAAAAAAAAAAAAACCAGAATGAAGACAGATCATTTTATTTATTCTGCACATGTCTACACAGATGCATATGGCAATGGGAATTTCCCATTATCATTGGATTTGGCTGCTGTTCCACATACATTGCTGCTGGTCTCTTTCCTAAGTAGTTATTGGTACTCTGGTGGACAAAAGAAACTTCAAGCAATAAAACTCCAAAGGAATTAAAAACCTCCATCAGCCTGATGCAGCCATGCACATCTTAATTGCCCTGGATATCATATTTAAATCATTTATAAAAGCAAACCGCTAATGCTTCTGTTTAGTTACTGTGCAGGTGCCTCCAACTGGCTCCTGATTGTGCCTAATTAAACACTTCTAAACATTAATGCATCAGCGAGCTTCAGCAGTTGCCGTTTAATGAAGTTGTGTCGAATGTTTCATCTGGGAGTTTTTTGGGGGGTGAGTGTATGTGCTTGGGGCCATCTGGTGGAGCAGAACTACAATGCACTGAACGTGCTGCTGCCCGGCCCGGGCGGTCTCTTCCAACCTGGTCGTTCTGTGAATTCTGTGAATTTTGTGACATCCCAGACATCCCACTCTGCCAAGACATCCAGCCCTGACTCAGCTGGCCACTCCCTGGCATCCCAGACATCCCACCCTACGAAACAGCCAGCCCTCTGCACTCTCCTCTGTCTGCTGTCCATGGAATTTCTCTACTAAACACTGACTCGTTTCAAAATGTGTCCTTTATAACTCTTCTAGACCAAGAACTGACATATTTTCAGCCACCACACCACTGCCCCTAATAATCAGCATCCTGGGAAAATTTGATCAGTCTAAACAATTAAATTCATTTATACATGGAACTGAGATAAATTATTTATGAGCCAATTGACATTTACAGCACTGGTGCTTTTAGTGCTCAATATACTGTGTATATTGTTATGGGGTTACTGTTGTAAAAGTATTCATGCTTTATAATAAACTTGTGATAAATTCAAGTCTTTAACCTTTACAATATTTAGGGCTCTTGAGCAGGGTTTAACAGGAGACTGTGACTTAAAGCAGACATCTGCTGTCTTTAATCTTGAGTAACACTTCATGCCAAGAATGGCCTTATTGACTTCAACGAAATTGTTGTGTAATTACTTTTTTCTCTTTTTCTCTTTCTTTTTTTTTTTTTTTTGGTCTTCTAAATGTAGTAGAAACTTGCCAACCATTTCTGCAGTCATTTTAAATTGCTCTTGACTTGAAAGGGAGCACAGTGATGCAGGATAATTAAATAGAAGAGGTAAATGGAAGAACAAGCTCTACATGAGTAGAGGAAAACAAAATAAAATGGCCAATTGTCTTGGACAGGAGGGAGCTGCAAAACAAACACTCCAGACCTTGAACATGGCCTCATGGTTTGGTACTGGTAACAATAAAGGGCTGTTTGTTCATCTCTCACTTGGATTCTTGGAAACCACCAGCCATTTCTCCCGGATTCTGTGTAATAAAAAAGCCACAATTTTGAAGCTGCTCACAGCAGGAATTTGTTCTAACCCAAATTTAGTGGAAATAGCTCCAGGAAGGGTAA